CACAGATTGCAGAACAAGAAACCTCGACTTCGACTATGTTTACACTGTAATTCTGCAGTATAACATCTGACATACATACAGTTGAAGCAGATACGATGGCAGTGACTGTATGGGACAACTTTGAAGGGTATATAACGAGGACAATAGACAAATGGGGATACATCGACTTCCTGGTCGTACACACTATATATCCCTATCCTATCATCTCACATGAACACTATTGAAGCAGACAAGTTCACATTGACCATATAAGACGACTTCCATGCAGGAATAACGCACACAGCTTGCAGAACCAGAAACCTCAACTTCGAACATGTTAACACTGTAACTCTGCAGTCTAGCATCTGACATGCATGAAGTTGAAGCAGATACGATGGCAGTGTCCGTATGAGACGTCTTTGAAGGGTATATAACGAGTACAACAGGTGAATAAGAATACATCGACCTCATCGTCGTACACACTATATCTCTATTCTTTCATCTGTTATGGACACTATTGAAGCAGACAAGTTTGCATTGACCATATGAGACGACTGCCGAGCGGGTATAACGCACACAATTTGCAGAACAAGAATCTTCGACTTTGACTCTCTTATCATTATAACTCTGCAGTCTAGCATCTGACATGCATACAATTGAAGCAGATACGATAGCAGTGACCGTATGAGACAACTCTGAAGGGTATATCACGAGTATAATATGCAAATCAAGATACATCGACCTCATCGTTGTGCGCACTATATCTCTCTATTCCATCATCTCACATGGCCACCATCGAAGCAAACAAGTTTGCAATGATCATTTTGGACGACTTCCAAGCAGGTATAACGCGAACAGCTTGCAGAACAAGAATCTCCCACTTTGACTATGTTTACACTATAACTCTGCAGTCTAGCATCTGACATGCAAACAGATGGAGCAGATGCGATTGCAGTGACCGAATAAGATGACTCTAAAGGGTATGGAACGGGTACAATAGGCAAATGAAGAAACATCGACTTCATCGTTGTGCACACTATATCTCTCAATCTAATCATCTAACATGGACACTATCGAAGCAGACAAGTTCGCAATGACGATATAAGACTACTTTCATGCAGGTATAACGCACACAGCTTGCAGAACAAGAAACCTCGACTTCGACCATGTTAACACTGTGAATCTGCAGTCTAGCATCTGACATGCATGAAATTTAAGCAGATACGATGGCAGTGACCGTATAAGACGATTCTGAAGTATATATATAACGATTACAATAGGCGAATGAAGATACATCGACTTCATCGTTGTGCACACTATATTTCTTTATCCTATCATATTACATGGACACTATTGAAGCAGACAAGTTCGCGATGACCATATGAGACGAATTCCATGCAGGTATAACGCACACAGCTTGCAGATCAAAAAACCTTGCCTTCGACTATGTTTACACTGTATTTCTGCAGTATTGAATCTGACATTCATACATTTGAAGCAGATACGACTGCAGTGACCATATAAGACGACTCTGGAGGGTATATAGCGAGTACAACGAGTTAATGTGTATATTTCGACTTCATCGTAGAGCAAACTCTATCTCTCTATCTATCATCTTACTTTGACATGATTGGAGCAGACAAGTTTGCATTGACTATATAAGACGACTTCCAAGCAGGTATAACGCACACAGCTTGCAGAACAAGAAACTCCGACTTTGACTATGTATACACTGTAACTCTGCAGTCCAGCATCTGACATGCATATAGTTGAAGCAGATACTATGGCAGTGACCGTATAAGACGACTTTGAGAGGTTTTCAACGAGTACAATAATAGGCAAATGAAGATACATCGACTTCATCGTTGTGCACACTATATCTCTTTATCCTATCATCTTACATGGACACTATTGAAGTGGACAAGTTCGCGATGACCATATGAGGAACTCTGACTTTGACTATGTTTACACTGTAACTCTGCAGTGTAACATCTGACATGCATACAGTTGGAGAAGATACGATGGCAGTGACCGTATAAGACGACTCTGAAGGGTATATAACGAGTTCATTAGATGAATTAAGTTACATCAACTCTATCGTTGTGCACACCATATCTCTCTATGGACACTATCGAAGCAGACATGTTCGCATTGACCCAAGCGGGTATAACGCACACAACTTGCAGAACAAGAAACTTCCACTTCGACTATGTTTCTCACTGTAACTCTGCAGTCTTGCATCTGACATGCATACAGTTGATGCAGGAACAATTGCAGTCTCCGTATAAGACGACTTTGAAGGAATTATAACGGGTACAATAGGCAAATGAAGAAACATCGACTTCATCGTTGTGAACACTATATCTCTCTATCTTATCATCTAACATGGACACTATTGGATCAGACAAAATCGCAATGACCATATAAGACGACTCCTGAGCAGGTATTACCACTATATCTCTCTATCTCATCATCTAACATGGACACTATTGGAGCAGACAAAATAGCAATGACCATATAAGACGACCCCTGAGCAGGTATTACGCACACAGCTTGCAGAACAAGAAACCTCAACTGCGACTATGTTCACACTATAACTCTGCAGTATAACATCTGGCATGCATACAGTTGAAGCAGATACAACTGCAGTGACCATATAAGACGACTTTGGAAGGTATATAGCGACTACAACTGGCAAATGGGGTTATCCCACATGCACACTATTGAAGCATACAAGTTCACATTGACCATATAAGACTACTCACAAGCGGGTATCACGCACAGAGCTTGCAGAACAATGAACTTCGACTCCGACTCTGTTAACACTGTAACTCTGCAGTCTAGCATCTGAAATGCATACAGTTGAACCTTATACGATTGCAGTGACCGTATAAGACGACTTTCAAGGATATATAACGAGTACAGTAGGCAAATGAAGATACATCGACTTCATCGTTGTGCACACTATAACTCTCTATCTCATCATTTCATATTGACATTATTGAAGCAGAAAAGTTTGCATTGACCATATAAGACGACTTCCAAGCTGATATAACGCATACAGCTTGCAGAACAAGGAACTCCGACTTCGACTATGTTTACACTGTAACTTTGCAGTCCAGCATCTGACATGCATACAGTTGGAGCAGATACGATGGCAATTGCCGTATAAGACGACTTTGAAAGGTATATAGCGAGTGAAACAGGCAAATGGGGATACATCAACTTTATTGGTGTGCACACTCTATCTTTCTATCCTATCATCTCACATGGATACTATCAATAGAAACGAGAATCATATCCAGAAGAATTGTGGAACACTATGGGCACCACGAAGAACTTGCGATACCTCAAATCACAAGATTGATACGTCCATTGCCTGAAGGCACCAGTGAAATGATAGTGGTCTTTTACAATGATTTCAGTATACGCAAATGCCTTTTCACAGATATGGCAGTATGTTATACAAACCTTATCTGGGAAATGAGTCAGAGGAACAATGTCTTTGATTTGAGACTACAAATTCAGCGACATCTGCCATCCCTGTCGCGAACCAATTCATACAATCAGGACCTCGATGACTCTTGTAGTAGGACGAGCTATCGTCATATGAGCATTTGGAATAGTAAACTGCGCTGAAGGCTGTATGTTCTTGATATTTTGCAATTTTTTGGGAAATTTTGACATTACAGTGCTCCAAGACCGATTCGAAATCACCGTAGATGATGAATTCGGCATTTTGCTTATAGATACAATTTTTGAAAACTACCGAATCTTATTTGGAGAATGAAATTTTGCAATTGTTAACATTTTCACATAAAAAACTATGTTCTGCCAATTTGGTTTCACTTGGGAAATAATTCAGACATCTATAACAGAAATGTTTTTTTTCATGATCTTCATTCGTCTTTTATATAACAATAATGATACCTTATGTCTTCATCGTAGTCGTTTTCGTGTAAGGCATCATAATCGTTGAGTTTCGGAAAATAGTCACTTTAAAGGAGTAGTAGATTGACATGTCTGGTTTGCTTATGTTCCGTGAGTTTGATGGTCACTACTTCAAAGTACTCCGTCATTTTTAAATGAATCAGTTCCAAGGCGTGAACGTTCACCAAGATAGCATCAAGTTTTTCAAATTTAGGAATTTCGTCAATAGTGACGGGTGTATCCGAGCCTGCGCTATTCAAAACTTGGCTGTGATGAGGATACGAGCTGAGCCTGTCTACATTGAGGTTCGCAGGATGTGAAGCGCTAACGATACTTCAGGAAAAGCACACCTCATCATTGTTTTTCACATTCATGCAGGCATGCTTCCTTATAAATTTCTCTGGCAGCTTGATATAGGATCATCCATTTCCAATCTCTGATTTATTTACATTTACCTCTTGAAAAACAATTTCACTTGAGGCCCAGCCACTACCCTTCTCTTGGAATTCTGAAAGTTCATTCACGTTTGTATCAATAACATTATCCGCGAACCAACAATCTCAATCCGTTACCTCATCCATTGGAGCATTCTCTGTATTGAAATATTCAGATTCAATAATCTCCGCAGGTATAACGCAAACAGCTTGCAAAACAAGAAACTTCGACTTCGAACATGTTTACACTGTAACTCTGAAGTCTAAAATCTTACATGCATACAGTTGAAGCAGATACGATGGCAGTCTCCGTATGATACGACTTTGAAGGGTATAAAGCGAGAACAATAGGCAACATGTTTACTCTATAAATCTGCAGTCTAGTATCTGACATGCATACAGTTGAAGCATACACGATTACAGTATCCGTATGAGAAGACATTGATGGTATATAACGAGTACAATAGGAAAATGAAGATTCATCGACTTCATCGTTGTGCAACACTATATCGACATATCCTATCATCTCACATGTACACTATTGAAGCAAACAAGTTCGCAATTACCATACCAGACGACTTTTATGCAGGTAAAACGCACACAGCTTGCTGAATAAGAAACTTCGACTTCGACTATGTTTACACTGTTACTCGGCATATCGCTATGGTGTATCGTGAGTAGACGTGTTCCACATCGTGTGCTACTAAATTGCTAAAAGTGGAGGAAAAGTGTTTTGTGCAAATCCAATTTTTGGGGTAGTTACTAGTTTCTGATAACTATCTGAGTTTTGAATGATTTAAACAATTACATTTTGTTGTAAGTACAATATTTGAAATAACTATTCAACATGTCAACGAGGCAACAGAAAAGGAGCGAGGACGGAGATCAATTGCACCAAGCAATTAAGTCTGCAGTAAATAAACTGTGTACGTCAGAGGCATTCATTACCGAGCTAACAAACTCAATTTTTGGGAAAATTAGTGAAAATATTGAAGAAGAATTGGAGTCATTAAGGAAGAAAACTTCTGAGTTAGAAAAGAAAGTTCAAGAACAAGATGAAGCCATCAAATTGATGTTTAGAAATAATGAGAGATATGAGAAATGGATTCGTAGAAATAATATTATCGTCTATGGATTGGAAGAGGTGCATGAAGAGACCATTCTAGATCAAACACTACAAATTTTTAATTCGAACATGAATTTAAAGATTAAAAAATCTGATATCGGAAGCTGTTATAGACTAGGAAAACCTAATGGAAAGAAAACTCGTCCACTGCTGGTACATTTCTTTGATGGATACGTCAGGCAAACTATTTTTTCCAACAAAAAGTGTCTCAAAGGTACTAAATATGTAATCAAAGAAGACTTAACGAAAGAACAGTCAACTTTGTTCAAGTTGGTCATGCAAAAAGCAGGAAAAGACGGTAAAGTTTGGACGAATGCAGGTACCATCTTCTTGAAATTGGCAGATAACAAGATTTCCAAGATTACGTCCATTGATGACCTGGCTCAAGTTTGATTGTGTATATTATGCTTGAAAATGAACCTTTTTTTTCTCTCTCTCTCTCTTCTAGAAGAGACCTCAATGCCAGTTTAGTAACCTCCGTGAATTATTTTATTTTTCTCTTTTTATTAAATCTATCAAATTCACTTTTGAATTTATAAACATTTGAATAGATTAAGAAGTGGCACATGAGTGCAGTTGGGATACGTCTGGGATCGAGACTCTATTTGAGTTCTGATCATTTACTTATCTATTAGTTTTTCTTATTGGTATAGTTTTTTTTTTCATTGGTATAGTTTCTTTTCATCGAGCGAAATAAAATAAAAATGTTCAACAATTTATATATAGGTTGTCTTAATGCAAGATCGCTTTTGCCTTCTTTGCAATCTGTTAAGTTAATTGTAGAGGAACATAAATTTGATATTTTTTTCATTTGTGAAACTTGGTTGAATGAAAATGTTGGAGATGATCTCATTAATTTTGATGGATATATCTTACACAGAAAAGATAGAGGTGGCTTAGGAGGAGGTTTGTGTATTTACGTAAATAATAAAATATATAGTGAAAAATTGAATTATCATGGTACAGTATCGGAACAACTCTGGGTGAATATAAAAATCAAAAGTAAAAATATTGCTCTTGGTGCAATATACAAGCCTCCTAAAATAAATAAGAATTCCTTCATAGCTGAAATAGAAGATATACTAAGTCTAATACATACCACTGTAGATGAAATCATATGCGGTGGAGATCTTAATATAGATTTTTTAAACACCGATGATATTTATGTAAATAAATTGTCATCTGTTCTGGAATGCTTCGGTATTGGTCAAATCATAGACACACCTACAAGAATTACAGCTTCTACTGCTACCTTACTTAATGGTATCATCACCTCATCTAACTGGGTTGTCGCGAGTGGAGTTATTCATGCAACAGGTGTCATTGCTGATCATGATATAGCTTCATGTAAAGTAAAGTTATGTGTTGAAGAGCAGGGTCCCAGAATGATAACATACAGGTCTTCAATGAAGATGATTTCAGAATGGATTTGTATAATACTCCACTTTTTAGGATATATGATCAGGAAAGGGTGGATGAAAAAATAACGTTTAATAACATCGCGCGTTTCCAAGCCCAGAGCTCCTTGGTTAACTGGAGCTATCAAAGAAATGATGGTAATACGCGATAGAGCGCTGAACAGGTATAAGAGAACTAAATCTGATCATCACCTCCGGTTCTATAAAGATATGAGGAACTACACAAATTCTGCTATTAGGAGAGAGAAAAAAGCATTTTCCACATATGAGCTAAGTAATAAAAATTCTAAGACTCTTTGGGAAACTTATAAGCTTATAGCGTTATTCCAAACAAATCAAGCACTATACCGGACAATTTAAAAAATCCCGCTGAAATAAATGAATTCTTCATCAATTCATGTATTACGAAAGAACCTCCTGAAGAATTACTCTCGTCGTACAAACTTACGAAAATTGTAGAATCAGACTTTGAATTTCAAGAGGTGAATGATTTATTTGTTTATCAAACAATGAATGCTATACATACAAATGCTGCCGGTGAAGACAAATTTAACTTAAGGCTATTGAAATTATGCTGTCCACATATAATCCCTTACATCACGCACATTATAAATTTTTGCTTAAGTCATAATATCTTTCCTGAACTTTGGAAAAGAGCCGTTGTTAAAGTGTTGCCTAAAAAGTCAAATCCACTTGGGTTCAAAGTTTTGCGTCCAATTAGTATACTGCCAACTTTATCTAAAGTACTCGAAAGGGCTATAGAAGTACAATTAAAAAAACATATTGATCAGTATTCACTTTTACCTATAACGCAATCTGGATTCCGAAAAAATTATAGTTGTACAACGGCTCTTCTCCATATTATTGATGATGTTATTCGAGCTTCAGACAAAGGTGAGTGTACTGTTCTGGTCCTCCTTGATTTTAGTAGAGCTTTCGATACCATTAACCATAAGTTGATGTTAGAAATTCTCCATTACATAGGACTTTCGAATAATGCTAGAAATCTCTTAGCATCTTACCTTTGTGATCGTAAACAAATGGTTGTAGTAGATGGACATTCCTCCAGTTATATGGGTTTAAAGTGTGGAGTACCCCAAGGTTCAATTTTGGGGCCATTGCTCTTTGCAATATATACTTCCTGTCTAGTAAAGAATCTACAAATTTGTAATGTACACCTGTATGCGGATGATACTCAACTTTATCATAGTTTTCACCCCAGTGCGGTAGTAGAGTCATGTGACCATATCAATGAGGATCTTAATAGTTTCATTAAAGCCGCAGAGGATCACTGCCTAAGCATTAATTGTAGTAAATCTAATGTAATACTTTTCGGCAATAAGAACAAACGAGATGAGATTTCTGATAGTGTGCGTATTGTAATAAAGAATGAAGTTCTTCAAAACGTAAGTGAAGCCAAAAGTTTAGGTATGATATTGGATTCTGATCTTAAGTTCAAAAAATACATAAATGTACTTATTCAACGTGCATACTTCACTCTCAAAACTATATATGGCAATAGAAACTTTCTCTCAATAAATGTAAAATCAAATCTGTGTGAGTCTTTGATACTATCCATATTTAATTATGCAGATGTACTGTATGGGCCATTTTTATCCAGCCTATATCAGAGAAAAATACAGAAAGTGTAGAATTCTTGCTTACGACTTATATTTGGTATCCGCAGGAGAGAACATATCTCACACAAATTGAATGATATTGGTTGGCTAAATATGACCAACAGAAGGATGATACATGCTGCTGTACTTTTTCAAAAAATAATTTTCAATAAAAAACCCTCATATTTGCACAGAAAAATTACCTATCGATCCGATATACATAACCTAAATATCCGATATAAAGGAACCCTCTCGCCGCCATCTTTCAAACTAGAAATCTTTAGGCGCAGTTTCACCTATCAAATATGTTTAATTTATAATCAGGTCCCCACCATGTTTAAAACTTATAGTATACAAAGATTCAAGAAGGCATACAAGAAGCATTTGTTTTCAAGGCAATCCTAAAATATCCGTGCGATAAAAATCATTATTATTAATGTATATGAATTGTTCATGTTTTTTTTTTCCATTATTTTGTTCTGTTTAAGCTATAACTACACCTAGTGATATATTGAAGGTTAAGTGGAAGAACAGTTTGTAAGCTGATTTTAAATCATTTTACAAGCTGAACTTCGCCTTTTGCTTTCATGTCAACCTCATATTATATGTATTTTTTTTTGTATTCACATATGGAAGCAATAAAGACGTTTATTATTATTATTATTATTATTATTATTATAACATCTGACATACATACAGTTGAAGCAGATACGATGACAGTCATTGTTGAGACAACTTTGAAGGGTATATAACGAGTACAATACCTCTCGTGCGCTCCAATCGATGAAAAAAAAAACAAAAAAAATGGGGATAAATCGACTCCATTGTCGTACACACTATATATCTCTATCCTATCATCTCACATGGACAATATTGAAGCAGACAAGTACACATTGACCATATGAGACGAATTCCAACCTGGTTTGACGCTTACAGCTTGCAGAAGAATCTTCGACTTTGACTATGATTACACTGTAACTCTGCATTCTAGCATCTGACATGCATGAAGTTGAAGCAGATACGATGGCAGTGTCCGTATGTGACGACTCTGGAGTGTATATAACGAGTACAACAGGTGGATGAAAATACATCGACTTTATCGTCGTACACGCTTTATCTCTATCCTATCATCTGTCATGGACACTACCGGAAAAAACAAGTTTGCATTGACCATATAAGACGACTTCCGAGCGAGTATAACGCACACAGTTTGCAGAACAAGAATCTTCGACTTTCACTTTTTTTACATTGTAACTCTGCAGTGTAGCATCTGACATGCATACAATTGTAGCAGATACGATGGCAGTGACCGTATGATACGACTTTGAAGGGTATATTACGAGTTCAATAGGCAAATGAAGATACATCGACTCCATCGTTGTGCACACTATATCTCTCTATTTCATCATCTCACATGAACACCATTGAAGCAAACAAGTTTGCAATGACCATATGAGACGACTTCCAAGCAGGTATCAGGCAAACAGCTTGCAGAACAAGAAAATTCGACTCCGACCTTGTTTACACTGTAACTCTGCAGTCTAGCATCTGACATGCATACAGTTGATGCAGATATGATCGTTATGACATAAGACGGCTTTGGAGGGTATATAGCAAGTACAATAGCAGGTAAAGATACATCGACTTCATCAGAGTGCACACTCTATCTCTCTATCCTATCATTCCACATGGACACTATTGAAGCAGACGAGTTCGCGATGCCCATATGAGACGACTTCCAATCGGGTATAACGCACACAACTTGGACAACAAGAAACTTTGACTTCGAATATGTTCACACTGTAACTCTGCCTTCTAGCATCATACATGCATACAGTTGAAGCAGATACGATTGCAGTGACCATATAAGACGAGTTCTAAGCTCTCTAACTCAGCAGTCTGGAATCTGACTACATACAGTTGAAGGAGAAACGATGGCAGTGACCGTATGAGACGACTTTGAAGGGTATATAACGAGTACCATAGGCAAATGGGGAAACATCGACTCCATCGTCATTTACACTATATACCTCTATCCTATCACCTCACATAGACACTATTGAAGCAGACGAGTTCGCATTGACCATATAAGACGACTTCCAAGTGGGTATGACGCACACAGTTTGCAGGACAAGAAACTTCGATTTCGACTATGTATACACTGTAACTCTGCAATCTAGCATCTGACATGCATATAGTTGGAGTAGATACGATTGCAGTGACCGTATGAGACGACTCTGAAGGGTATATAACGAGTACAATAGGCAAATGAAGATACATCGACTTCATCGTTGTGCACACTATATCTCCTTATCGTATCATCTCACATGGACACAATCGAAGCAGACAAGTTCGCAATGACCATATAATACGACTTCCATGCAGGTATAACGCACACAGCTTGCAGAACAAAAAACCTCGACTTCGACTATGTTAACACTGTTATTCTGCAGTATAACATCTGACATGCATACAGTTGAAGCAGATTCGACTGCAGTGACCATTTAAGACGACTCTGGAGGGTATATAGCGAGTGCAACAGGTAAATGGGTATATATCGACTCCATCGTTGAGCACACTTCATCTCTCTTTTTAATCATCTAACATTGACACTATCGAAGCAGACAGGTTCACATTGACCATATAAGACGACTCCCAAGTGGGTATAACGCACACAGCTTGCAGAACAAGAAACTTCGACTTCGACTATGTTTACACTGTAACTCTGCAGTCTAGCATATGACATGCATACAGTTAAAGCAGAAACGATTGCATTGACCGTATAAGACGACTTTGAAGGGTATATAACGAGTACAGTAGGCAAATGAAGATACATCGACTTCATCGTGATGAGTCCATCCAGTTCTCGAGCTCTTGCAGACAATAGGGGGGTCTAGTTGTGGTTTGTGCAGACTTTTCCAGGTGCACAAGTGTCGTCGACAATGACCAGAGGGTGTTGTCACCGGAGATTCACCTTGTCACATGTATTTCCACCTGTCTCACCTGTGTCACCGAATGAATTTGCGATTCACCTTGCCTATTTGTGGTTTGTGCAGACTTTTTCAGGTGCACAAGTGTCGTCGACAATGACCAGAAGATGTTGTCACCGAAGATTCACTTTGTCACCTGTCACCTATAGGTACATTCCACCTGTTCCACCTGCTTTACTGATTC